GCCTGCCTCATTCACAAGCAAAGATTTCTGTCAGAGAAGCAACTGAAAATGGAAGTGTCCTACTCAAGTTAGGACAAGTTATATCAGACACATATACTACTACCAGCACCACAGAACCAATACAGCTGAGGAAGAACAGCTTTTATTCTGCTTCAAGCATCAACAAAATTAAGATTTCAAGAATCTTTATTACTGGCAGAGAGGTAAGAGGCAGAACCCAGTTTGAGTTGCAGAGCCCAAGGCTGAGTTTGCAGGGTATCAAATGGAAAATGTTTCTTTTGACTTGAAAATTTAATGGACATGATATGAAAACATTGGATTCAACAGGAGCTTTCAGACCCATTGTCATTGCTGGTGAAACACTCTGTTATCTGTGCTTTTGAAATACACTTCTAATGAAAAGCAACCAAATTCACTCTCTCCTAAAGTGTTGCATCTTTACCCAGACAGTATTACTTTGGCACTTTCATTATTCCCAAACTCGCAGCCTCAGTCCATTTTGCCCCCTGCAACTTACTCCAACCCTCCTCCTCCTCTGCTCAGGATCTTGCTACATTCTTCAAAAAGAAAACTGGCATTATCAAAGGGCACCTTCCCTTCTCTACTCCCTTCACCACCCTCTCCCCATCACTGAAACTGTGATTTCTCTCATGCACTTCGTTCACTAATCCTTGCACTTGCCCCAGTGACAACTCATCCCAGCTGACCTCCCTCTGTGCAGTCTCATGCCTTCCCTCACATTTTTGCTTTGGTTCTGGCTCTCTCTTTCCTGATACTTGTCTGCTCTGAGATGTAGTGCTGTAGTGCATAGCAAGCCAGAAAATAAATCTACAGCAGCACTAACTACCACACGCTAAATCTATGTCTATTCTGTAGCTGAAAGCGAGCGTCCCAGCCAAGGTAGACTCACACTACCACGGTGTTAGTTGTGTACTGAAAATACTAGTACAGGTGCTGTGACTTGGGCTCTCCAACCCAGCTTCCATCCTTTTATTCCACAGAAACAGGTCTCATCAATGTCTGCATAGCCTCTTCTGAGGCTCTTTTTTGAAAGATCCTGTAAACCTCATTTTTGGAGGAGTACAGAATGCTTCGAAAAAAGGTTTTTTTTCTGAAAGAACCAAGTCCAGACAGCAGTTTCACTTTCAAAATACCTGTTTTCAAAAGAATGTGCAGCCGCCATTATGCAAATGAAGCGTGGGAAATTCAAATCCCAGCTTCATTTGCAATTTCAACCTGTCTAATTTACATCCCTCTTTAGAAAGAGGGATGTAGTTTAGACATGCCCAGAATATGTCTACTATTCAGTGTAAACCCAGGGTTCAAACTCAGATTCAAGCCTAACCACCCTCCATTACACAAAATCATGGTATCCGAGGGCTCAGATCCGAGGTGTTGGGACCACACAAATATGGCATGTCCAAGCCTGAGTCAAACTAGGACACAAGGATAAAGCCCCACTGATTTACAATGTAGACATAGCCTCACTGCACTCATGGTCAGGGAGCCCAGCAAAAGTATTCTATAATGCCATGGGCTGTGTTTTTCTCCTCTGGAAACTCACATTTTTCCTCATGCTGCATCTGAACAAAAAGCTAATGTGGCTACATTTTTGAAAGCCTTTAAGACATCTGGAATATGGGTGGATGGACTGATGCCCATATAATGGCACTGTAGATGCTGGGTTCAGTCATTCCTAATCTGCTACAAAGAAGCATAGATGCTCAAGCCATGTTAGCAGACCCTGGATTTATTACCTTTGAGTTCTACTAACTTTGGGCTTACATTGAAGTGTAGACATAGCTTCAGATGTACTTTTCCTCTTCAAACCCCCTCCTTCCAAACTAAAATTCAAATCTGTCTTTTCTAAAAACTTGTAGATGTTCAACTATCGCTTTATGCTCAACGTAGCCAAAACTGAGTTCATCTTTCCCCTAAAGCCCTCCCCACTTTCATCATCAATACATACAACACTACAATCCTTCCTAACATTCAGGCCCATTATCTTTGACTCAGCCCCCTCTCTGCCTAAAATTTTGCATGAAGAGAAAAAAAGCAAATCTCCATGATCTGAACCTTCCACTAAAAACTTGATTCAGACCCTCTTTATATCACACCTTGTCACTCCGACTTGCTCCTTTCAGTTCTTGGCAAAGGTCATCTTCCCCCTACCTCTCCTTACATGTATTCACCACACTGCTGCAAAAAGTCCACCTTCCTCAAACACTGTATCCCTTTACTGATTTCCCCATTTCATTTGCATAACACAAAAGAAGTGCCAACTACTTGTCTTCATTTTTAAAACTACTTGACTTAGCCCTGAGCTAATTATCATCTCTGATATGGCGTAGGGCTGTCAGCTCCCACGTACACTCTATTAGCACTCCCATCTTTTACTTCCCATTACATGTATCAGTTTTCAAAGAGTTTGTCTGGGTGCAGTACTCAACACAATGGGGATGTGATCCCTGATTGGGATCTCTACATGCTACTGCAAATATTAATGGCATGGCATAACATACAATATAGTATGTATTTTAAATTATGTGGTGTGCCTTCCTTTGAAGGTATTATATATTTAGTTTTCATAGCAGAGAACTTTCTCCAAGTAATGCTAAGCATTAGCTTTCCTACTGTGTTTCAAATATTAATTTAATAAAATGCAGCTCTAGCATTAAAGTAAAACTGCACAATTTCTAGCATTAGATTTATTCAGGTGGTTATATATAAAACCTTACAAATCAGAGTGTTTTCTAGAGTGATTTTCAAACATGCAGAAGAAAGACATATTCCATCTGGACTAGTCTTGCGACTGTCCATCATATGCACTAAAATTTCAGGCATAGAGGGGACTCACTTAGTGACTGACTTGTACTAATTCAGCACCTTTTTTTAAACCCGAGAGAGAATTTTGTCTCCCCATTCCCTTTCCTGAAATGGACTCCAGCAAAGGCTATTTGCAAGATGTTTGTATTTAACCCCCAAAAGAACCCTCTGTAAGCAGTGTCTTTGTTATATTGTTGTGCCAGCCTCATGTCATGCCTTATCTAAATATTGCAAAGTCCCAAGATATTTTAAAAATATATACAATGTCAAGGAAAACAAAACATATGGAAAGGCTACTATTTGTATAAACTCAGTAAAAGGAAGAGACAGAAGTGCCTTTGGCTTATACAAAAATGTGTGGATTTCAACAGGACAACACAGGTCTCTCAAGCAAGCCCTTATATAAAATATACACATTATTATACACATTATCATTCATTTAGAAGAATTAAAATATAATTTTATAACACAAAATACGCACATTGACTAAAACAAATAGGAATACTGGATGAAATACCGGCCCACTGAAATCCATGAGAAACACCCCATTGAAGTCAGTGGAATCAATATTTCACAAACATTTGAAATAAGTCATTGCAACCATTTTGCTAGCTTAATATAAACAAGTAGAATCCTTTTCTTTTATAAAAATACAGGTACAAATTGAAATAAGCTTGATTAATGAGCTCAGATTTAAATTTAGGCTTACTTTAGTGCTTGCTTTGGCACAGTTTGTTCAAGGAGATATACACATTAGTTTGGTTGGGGGGGGGTTGTGTGTATGTTGTTTTTGTTTTTTGCAAGAGTGAAGGCTTATTAGTGATATAACAGCTTTTCTTAAATAGTAAAATTCAGGTTGTAGATTAAAACTGGATGGAGGAAAAAAAGCATTGTGAGTTCTATTCTTCTGCAGATATGTCTTCCCTTGCAAGTTCTTTGTAATCACTAAGTAACAATACATGCTTTCCTCACTGGAGTATTGCAAGGATTAATCATTGTAGAGTGCTTTGAAGAGGTAACGTACCATATCAATAGTAAGTATTATTTAGTTCCTGTAAATCCTTCTCTGAAAAGAAAACCATGAAACTGAAACTCACCCTACGCATATGTACAAATACAACTTCTACTGCCCTATTTTTTAAATTTTTATTTTATTTATTTATTTATTTATTGCAATTGACAACAAATAGCTTTTTGGACATTTAGAAAAAATTACTGCCATACTCAGTTTAACCTGCATTTGAAAAATCCAGGGGCTTTATGTGTGTTTACAGCTATAAAAAGGTGAATTCTACACATAAATGGGAATGCACAAGCTTCTGTTAGGACTGAAATATCCAGCATATAGCATGGAAAGCTGCAATTTTGGCAGCAATAAAAGAAAATGGCATTGGTCGAAGAAATACATCATTTAAAAAAACAGATTATTAGAAATCTTTAAGTATTTTCAATCTTTATTCTGTGTAAAGGCTTAGAAGCCCTCCATCTGATTCCATAAAATATCAAAAATAACATTTGCTAATGAAACTAGAAAGCACCTTTTTCATATGTGTCTTGCATACAGCATACATTTCAAATGGTGCTCTTCAAAGTAGATATTATGTTGGTGAAAGTAAAAAAGTCATGAATAATTCATAAGATAAAAAGTACATGATTGGGCTTTTCACTTGAATCTTTTCTCTGTAAGAGCCGATTTTTAAAGTATCTCGTCTGATTAAATAACAAGCATGCATTCCTTCTTTACTGTACCTAGTCCACAGGTGCAGTAAAGAAGGAATTTCTAATTTCTGTTCTGATGATATAAACACTTTTAAAAAAACACAGTTTGTGAATACTGCACTCTCCATTTTGCAATGTTTTCTTGTTACACAGCCATCCAAGTGCAAAGAATTTTTCCATTATGCCATGGAGTAACAAAAAATGAAATGAAAATCTCTTAATTTCAAAATGCCTGGCAACTTTATTATACTGATCAGGAAGTCTTCCCCCCCAAAAAAGTGTAAATCATTCTAAATTCTTAGCATAGGACATAAATGTATAGCTCCATGCATATATTAAATCTCAAATACTTGACTATCTTTAGATGTCTCAGATTACCTAAACTGCCACTGTAAAAATATGTGAAAACATTTACACAGATGAAAAAAAAAAGAGTTTCACATCAGGACACTCACCAAAAGACTGAAGGCAGGTTTCAAGAAGGTTCTCCAGGCTGGCACCTTTGGCTAAGTGTCCCAAAGGCATCATTATTCTCAACTCAGTGACCTGGGAAGGATTTGAATGGGAGGCACGACTGATGGGCTTCAGTTCAAGTGCTGTTTTAGGGGCAGTGCTGCATCCTTTTGCAGGTTTCCTAAAGGAAAGGACAATAGTCAAGTTTCACACAAGCCTCGGATGCAGACTGGAAAAGGAGGAGAGATTTAAAAGGCAATTAACTCCCTGGAATTGGGTTGGTGAAAAACATAACCCTCCCACTTGGCAAATGCACCAAAGAAACCTCTTTATATAAACTATATTTTGCCCTGAAAATGTGGATCTTTACAGCATATGGTTATAGAGCTCTTCATTTTTAAAATATATACACTTTAATCTTAATGCAAACATCATTCATTCCCAAAGAAAACAACAGGCATTAATATAATCTGAACATTTATGTAAAAATCAAACAATGGATATTACAAACTGGGAAAGTATCCTAGTAATGACCTTCCAGTCTATGGATATTTACACGTGGGCACTATGGTGAAAGTGAATGGATTTAAGCCCATAATCAAACCCCTAAACAATTTGGTAAGGCATTTCATTAAAAAAAAAACCTGTTAGGAAATGATAGAGCTCATCCCTGAAATAGCAGCATGAATTTATCATGGAATATTTCATAGTTATGTTTTGTCCCTACTCTTAACTGCTCCTGTAAATGTCCACTTATACTGAATTTTTTTCGCTAAGTTACTACTGAATGTATAAATAACTTTACTGGTCAGACTTTCCAAGGTGACCATTAAAATTGCACTCATAATTCTGCAAGTGCCTATTTTTAGACATGAATTTTTCACACTTTAAGGTTTTGTAGGTACCAAAAGCATCTGTGTTGCAAACAGCATTTGAGTGTTACGTTACTTGTGAATACAAATTACAATTTTCATGCAAACACAATAGATTCAGAAAGTACAAAATCACAGATAAGAAAATGTGTGCTCAAATTTGCATTTGCAAAGCTTCAGGCACCATTCTGAAACACTTTTGAAAATATGGCCCTATAGTTCCCCCAGTCAGTAATCACCGCACCATTCAAAAAGATTCAGCTGTTCCAAAGAAGATAAGTTGCACCCACAAACCCTTCCTAAATAAGTCACTGAAACATCTTCTGAGAGAGAAAGTTAAAAATCATATTTTTGTTGAATTTTACAGATGGGTAAGCAAGACATAGATGGCATTGCCTGGAACAAAACTCGGTACAGTAAGAAGTAGTGCAGAACTCCTTCATGGACAGTTTCAACCCTGCAGTGACATTTATGTTTTAACCCCATAGTTTTAGGTGCAATTCAAACAGTTTTTCATAACCAAGGTACTTAATATATTAATGCAATTTAGCAACAGCCCTATAGGGTAGGTTTTAGAGCAAAACTGTTCCTGTTGTAAATCCGCACTTTATATTACCAAAAGGAAAGACACGCTACAGAGGAACTGATTTTAATGTCAGAGCTGAAAGTAGCATCCAGGCATCCCTGACACTGGGTCTGGGCACCAAGGGGAGTTATGCCTGCCTGATAAAGAGTATACCCCCTCCTCCATAGTATTAGCAATGAATTTTAATCCTTATCTGCAATTAGGTGATTGCAGTCAAATTTCTATGCCATCAGAGTGCTGTGTAGAATACTCCATAAAACTCATTTCATTTGTCATGTATAGCATGCTTTAAACCAGATCTCTAGAAATGCAAAGCTAGCCTATGATGGTGCTGATAGGGCTGTTCAGCATTTGCTCTATCTATTCCTTTTGAAGTTAGAATTCACCGCACAAAATATATCAATCTGTATTCTATTTTGTCTTAAGTTTTCCTGCTCTTAGCTCTGTTGTGTGACCTCAAATTCTCATTTTATGGAACAGGAAGGGACCAATCAGCTTACAAGGTGCTCTTTGCGGATTCCCTTCAAGCTAGGCTGCTACATCATAACATTATAATCGCAGGGAAACAAAAGTTACATGTAGCAGGTGTATTATTTTGGTTGGTGCGACGAATGCACTCAGAAATGAACAATGCACAGAATAAAGACAGTCCCACCCCATATTGCTTACACTGAAGAATGGGGAACCTTTTTTGGGCCACTGACCCTCCCAAAAAAAATGAGTCAGGGACATCACACAAGTGAGAAGCAAAAAAAAAAAAAAATCTCACTGACATGACTTTCCATTAGAGCAATGCTCCCCACATTCCCTGCACACACCAGAGCCTAGCGATGCCCAGACTAGTAGATTTTGTGTGCTCCAGCCCCACGGAGAGGCTGGGGGGGGGGGGGGGGGGGGGGGGGGGGGGAGATGAAGGGGGAAGGGGCTGGAGTGCTAGCACAGGCTCCCCAATGCTGGGGGAGGAGACCTGAGCCTGGGGAGCCGGACCAGGCAAGCCAGTCCGGACCGGGGCCTTAGATTTCCTACCCTTGTTACAGCAAGGCGCTTTCTGCTGGGTACAGAGGTTAACTGATCAATGACATTATCTGAATTCATCAACTAATTAAAAAATATCTCCACTCAGAGGAGTTAGCATGGAAGGGAAATGGAAAAGAACAGGGTTTTTTCCACACTGGATTTCCACTGCC